TAGGGGGCGATGTTGCTACTGTGTATGGGGCGATGTTGTTACTGTGTAGGGGGTGATGTTGCTACTGTGTAGGGGGCGATGTTGCTACTGTGTAGGGGGCGATGTTGCTACTGTGTAGGGGGCGATGTTGTTACTGTGTAGGGGGCGATGTTGCTACTGTGTAGGGGGCGATGTTGCTACTGTGTAGGGGGCGATGTTGTTACTGTGTAGGGGGCGATGTTGTTACTGTGTAGGGGGCGATGTTGCTACTGTGTAGGGGGTGATGTTGTTACTGTGTATGGGGCGATGTTGTTACTGTGTAGGGGGTGATGTTGCTACTGTGTAGGGGGCGATGTTGCTACTGTGTAGGGGGTGATGTTGTTACTGTGTAGGGGGTGATGTTGCTACTGTGTAGGGGGTGATGTTGTTACTGTGTAGGGGGTGATGTTGCTACTGTGTAGGGGGTGATGTTGTTACTGTGTAGGGGGCGATGTTGCTACTGTGTAGGGGGTGATGTTGTTACTGTGTAGGGGGTGATGTTGCTACTGTGTAGGGGGCGATGTTGCTACTGTGTAGGGGGCGATGTTGCTACTGTGTATGGGGCGATGTTGTTACTGTGTAGGGGGTGATGTTGTTACTGTGTATGGGGTGATGTTGCTACTGTGTAGGGGTGATGTTGCTACTGTGTAGGGGGCGATGTTGTTACTGTGTATGGGGTGATGTTGCTACTGTGTAGGGGGTGATGTTGCTACTGTGTAGGGGGCGATGTTGTTACTGTGTAGGGGTGATGTTGCTACTGTGTAGGGGTGATGTTGCTACTGTGTAGGGGCGATGTTGCTACTGTGTAGGGGGCGATGTTGCTACTGTGTATGGGGCGATGTTGCTACTGTGTAGGGGGTGATGTTGCTACTGTGAAGGGGGTGATGTTGCTACTGTGTATGGGGCGATGTTGCTACTGTGTAGGGGGCGATGTTGTTACTGTGTATGGGGTGATGTTGCTACTGTGTAGGGGTGATGTTGCTACTGTGTAGGGGTGATGTTGCTACTGTGTAGGGGCGATGTTGCTACTGTGTGGGGGCGATGTTGCTACTGTGTATGGGGCGATGTTGCTACTGTGTAGGGGGCGATGTTGTTACTGTGTAGGGGGTGATGTTGCTACTGTGTATGGGGCGATGTTGCTACTGTGTAGGGGGCGATGTTGCTACTGTGTAGGGGGCGATGTTGCTACTGTGTAGGGGCCGATGTTGCTACTGTGTAGGGGTGATGTTGCTACTGTGTAGGGGCGATGTTGCTACTGTGTAGGGGGCGATGTTGTTACTGTGTATGGGGTGATGTTGCTACTGTGTAGGGGTGATGTTGCTACTGTGTAGGGGTGATGTTGCTACTGTGTAGGGGCGATGTTGCTACTGTGTAGGGGGCGATGTTGCTACTGTGTATGGGGCGATGTTGCTACTGTGTAGGGGGTGATGTTGCTACTGTGTAGGGGGCGATGTTGCTACTGTGTAGGGGGTGATGTTGCTACTGTGTAGGGGGTGATGTTGCTACTGTGTAGGGGGCGATGTTGTTACTGTGTAGGGGGCGATGTTGCTACTGTGTAGGGGGCGATGTTGTTACTGTGTAGGGGCGATGTTGCTACTGTGTAGGGGGCGATGTTGCTACTGTGTAGGGGCGATGTTGTTACTGTGTAGGGGGCGATGTTGTTACTGTGTAGGGGGCGATGTTGCTACTGTGTAGGGGGGTGATGTTGCTACTGTGTAGGGGGTGATGTTGCTACTGTGTAGGGGGTGATGTTGTTACTGTGTAGGGGGCGATGTTGCTACTGTGTAGGGGGTGATGTTGCTACTGTGTAGGGGGTGATGTTGCTACTGTTAGGGGGCGATGTTGTTACTGTGTAGGGGGTGATGTTGCTACTGTGTAGGGGGCGATGTTGTTACTGTGTAGGGGCGATGTTGCTACTGTGTAGGGGGCGATGTTGCTACTGTGTAGGGGCGATGTTGTTACTGTGTAGGGGGCGATGTTGTTACTGTGTAGGGGGCGATGTTGCTACTGTGTAGGGGGCGATGTTGTTACTGTGTAGGGGGCGATGTTGCTACTGTGTAGGGGGTGATGTTGCTACTGTGTAGGGGGCGATGTTGCTACTGTGTAGGGGGCGATGTTGCTACTGTGTATGGGGCGATGTTATTACTGTGTAGGGGGTGATGTTGCTACTGTGTAGGGGGCGATGTTGCTACTGTGTAGGGGGCGATGTTGCTACTGTGTAGGGGGCGATGTTGTTACTGTGTAGGGGGCGATGTTGCTACTGTGTAGGGGGCGATGTTGCTACTGTGTAGGGGGCGATGTTGTTACTGTGTAGGGGGCGATGTTGTTACTGTGTAGGGGGCGATGTTGCTACTGTGTAGGGGGTGATGTTGTTACTGTGTATGGGGCGATGTTGTTACTGTGTAGGGGTGATGTTGCTACTGTGTAGGGGGCGATGTTGCTACTGTGTAGGGGGTGATGTTGTTACTGTGTAGGGGGTGATGTTGCTACTGTGTAGGGGGTGATGTTGTTACTGTGTAGGGGGTGATGTTGCTACTGTGTAGGGGGTGATGTTGTTACTGTGTAGGGGGCGATGTTGCTACTGTGTAGGGGGTGATGTTGTTACTGTGTAGGGGGTGATGTTGCTACTGTGTAGGGGGGGCGATGTTGCTACTGTGTAGGGGGCGATGTTGCTACTGTGTATGGGGCGATGTTGTACTGTGTAGGGGGTGATGTTGCTACTGTGTAGGGGGCGATGTTGCTACTGTGTAGGGGGCGATGTTGCTACTGTGTAGGGGGTGATGTTGCTACTGTGTATGGGGCGATGTTGTTACTGTGTAGGGGGCGATGTTGCTACTGTGTATGGGGCGATGTTGTTACTGTGTAGGGGGTGATGTTGCTACTGTGTATGGGGCGATGTTGCTACTGTGTAGGGGGCGATGTTGCTACTGTGTATGGGGCGATGTTGCTACTGTGTAGGGGGTGATGTTGCTACTGTGTAGGGGGCGATGTTGCTACTGTGTAGGGGGCGATGTTGCTACTGTGTAGGGGGCGATGTTGCTACTGTGTATGGGGCGATGTTGCTACTGTGTAGGGGGCGATGTTGCTACTGTGTATGGGGCGATGTTGCTACTGTGTAGGGGGCGATGTTGCTACTGTGTAGGGGGCGATGTTGTTACTGTGTAGGGGGCGATGTTGTTACTGTGTAGGGGGTGATGTTGCTACTGTGTAGGGGGCGATGTTGCTACTGTGTAGGGGGCGATGTTGCTACTGTGTATGGGGCGATGTTGCTACTGTGTAGGGGGCGATGTTGCTACTGTGTAGGGGGCGATGTTGTTACTGTGTAGGGGGCGATGTTGTTACTGTGTAGGGGGTGATGTTGTTACTGTGTAGGGGGCGATGTTGTTACTGTGTAGGGGGTGATGTTGCTACTGTGTAGGGGGCGATGTTGCTACTGTGTAGGGGGTGATGTTGCTACTGTGTAGGGGGTGATGTTGCTACTGTGTAGGGGGTGATGTTGTTACTGTGTAGGGGGTGATGTTGCTACTGTGTAGGGGGCGATGTTGCTACTGTGTAGGGGGTGATGTTGCTACTGTGTAGGGGGCGATGTTGCTACTGTGTAGGGGGTGATGTTGCTACTGTGTAGGGGGTGATGTTGCTACTGTGTAGGGGGTGATGTTGCTACTGTGTAGGGGGTGATGTTGCTACTGTGTAGGGGGTGATGTTGCTACTGTGTAGGGGGCGATGTTGCTACTGTGTAGGGGGCGATGTTGTTACTGTGTAGGGGGTGATGTTGCTACTGTGTAGGGGGCGATGTTGCTACTGTGTAGGGGGCGATGTTGTTACTGTGTAGGGGGCGATGTTGTTACTGTGTAGGGGGCGATGTTGTTACTGTGTAGGGGGCGATGTTGTTACTGTGTAGGGGGTGATGTTGCTACTGTGTAGGGGGTGATGTTGCTACTGTGTAGGGGGCGATGTTGCTACTGTGTAGGGGGTGATGTTGTTACTGTGTAGGGGGCGATGTTGCTACTGTGTAGGGGGTGATGTTGTTACTGTGTAGGGGGCGATGTTGTTACTGTGTAGGGGGCGATGTTGTTACTGTGTAGGGGGCGATGTTGTTACTGTGTAGGGGGCGATGTTGTTACTGTGTAGGGGGCGATGTTGTTACTGTGTAGGGGGCGATGTTGTTACTGTGTAGGGGGCGATGTTACTACTGTGTAGGGGGCGATGTTGTTACTGTGTAGGGGGCGATGTTGTTACTGTGTAGGGGGTGATGTTGCTACTGTGTAGGGGGTGATGTTGTTACTGTGTAGGGGGCGATGTTGCTACTGTGTATGGGGCGATGTTGCTACTGTGTATGGGGCGATGTTGTTACTGTGTAGGGGGTGATGTTGTTACTGTGTAGGGGGTGATGTTGCTACTGTGTAGGGGGTGATGTTGCTACTGTGTATGGGGCGATGTTGCTACTGTGTAGGGGGCGATGTTGCTACTGTGTATGGGGCGATGCTGTTACTGTGTAGGGGGCGATGTTGTTACTGTGTAGGGGGCGATGCTACTGTGTAGGGGGCGATGTTGTTACTGTGTAGGGGGTGATGTTGCTACTGTGTATGGGGCGATGTTGCTACTGTGTAGGGGGCGATGTTGTTACTGTGTAGGGGGTGATGTTGCTACTGTGTATGGGGCGATGTTGCTACTGTGTATGGGGCGATGTTGCTACTGTGTATGGGGCGATGTTGCTACTGTGTATGGGGCGATGTTGCTACTGTGTATGGGGCGATGTTGCTACTGTGTATGGGGCGATGTTGCTACTGTGTATGGGGCGATGTTGCTACTGTGTATGGGGCGATGTTGCTACTGTGTATGGGGCGATGATGCTACTGTGTATGGGGCGATGTTGCTACTGTGTATGGGGCGATGTTGCTACTGTGTAGGGGGCGATGGCGAGAGGTTACAGAACAGACTCCAGGCATTATCGGTGAACTGACGTGACCAACACGACTCACCAGCTGCTCTGCAGGACACAGCGTCATCACCTTGATCAGGTCCTGCATTGATGTAAACACACACGCACAAACACGTACAGCACACACACGTACTGTAACAACACAACAACAACCGCCATTCGCCACTAAGAGGCGGTGACGTCACCACAACGCTTGCCAGGCTATGTGCACCTTGAGGCCACGTGAAGTGTCGAACGCCCGCTGGCAGGTCACGGGGCAGACCCAGGTGCCACTGGTCGACTGACTGAGATGACTGGCTGATGCACCACCTGTGCGCCCCTACTGTGCCAACTTGCTGTGCTTTAGCCATCCGGCGCTCCGCTCATTGTTGTGAGCGTCGCTCCTCCGCCCTCCGTTGTTGTTGGAGGGCGACTGTCTCCAACTGCCCAGTAGCGTCCTTCACGAGCCTCCTCCACAGAGGCCGATCTTGACACCGCTGGTACCAATTATCGGCAAGTCCACTCAGCTCTACAGCCTCCTGTACCACATCACTCCATCTCTTCTCTAGCCCATGCCGCGCCCGTTTAGCCCCCTCGATCCGGCCGAACAAAAGCTGGATCGTAGGCAGGCCAGCCTAAATGTTTGTACCCGGCAAAGATGTTCCATTAGGGGGGTCCACGTTTTGCAAGCGTAGAGAGGGGGGGGGGATGACCATGGCCGAGAAGACTTGGAGCTTCGTGCGGAGCGAGAGACCAGGTAGCTTCCACACAACTGATGAAAAGATAATGCCGCTCAACTGATTCGGAGTGAGACCTCTGCTGTTAAACCGGAGCCGGTCATGAGCACATACAGCATACACACATGCACACGCAATAAAGCATATATACACACGTGCAGCCGTACACACAAACATGCACGCACGCACACACATGCGCAGCACACACACGCGTGAGCACACACACAAACACAGACACGCACACACGTGCACGCATGTTGGTAAGTGAGCAGGTCTGCAGTAGCAACATCGGAGCAACATCGGAGACAAGAAGAGACCCAGAAAACCTGGCAGCTATTGCTCCATCCCTCACTCCCAACGCCTGACGGTGCCTGGCATGGCTCGGTGTGCGTGGCGTGGGTCGGTGTGCATGGCGTGGCTCGGCGTGGCTTGGTATGCGCACTGCGGCTCAGTATGCGTGCCGTGGGTTGGTGTGCACGCCGTGGGTTGGTGTGCACGGTGTGGGTTGATGTGCACGGTGTGGTTGGGTGTGCGGTGGCGTGGCTCAACGTGGCTCAGCGTGCCTGTGGCAGCTGTAAGAAGACCGGCAGCTCCAGTAGCGGCCGTCCCAGCGCCCGCGGCGCCGCTTGTCCCAGCGCCCACTCCAGCAGGGCCTGGACGCAGGGAACACCGTGCGTCACAACCGTGAGTCACAACCGTGAGTCACGACACACGTGTCACAACCGCGTGACACAACCCAAGCATCACAACCGCGTGGCACAACCCAAGCATCACAACCGCACGCGACCACCACGCGTCACAACCGTGAGTCGCGACCGTGAGTCACGACCCACGCGTCACAACCCAAGCGTCACAACCACGTGCCACAATCACACGTCACAAATGTGTATCAGAACTGCGAGTTACAACCACGCGTCACAACCCACGTGGCACCGCCTCACGCACGCAGCTCACCATTCCCTTCAGCGTGACGGCCTCTTCGTTCCTGCGGAAAGAGTCAACGATATTTGCGTGAACATTAATTCTCGTTACCTGTGCTTGCTTACTGAGGAAGGCCTCACCGAGTCTCCAGGCTCAAAGTAGGGGGGTGATGTTGCTGCTGTGTGTAATCCCAATTGAGTCGTTTGCATGTGATCTTTCCACCATTGGCGGTGTTTTGGCTGATGCCAGTTGCATTGTCCGTTTAGCGAGGGGCGGAAACTGGAGAACCCAGAGCTGTGGTGGGCAACCTGCGGCCCGTGGAGGCCCCCGTGGTGGCCTGGTCTCGATGCGTCTCGGGTGCTGCGTGGGGTCACATGTGCTTGTGCACATGTGACGCACCAGGTACTCATTTAAGGCTGTTAAGACCTAGGGGAGGCCCAGGACCGGTTCAGATAATCGTCACTGGTGTTGGCCATGAGCGGGAATTGAACTCGGGATGTCGGGTTCGTAGCACTGCGCGCTAACCAAGACACTACCGCTCCCAATAACAACAACCGCCTTTCGCCACTAAGTGGCGGTGACGTCACCACGGCGCTTGTGCCAGGCTATGTGCACTTTAAGGTCACGTGAAGTGTAGAATGCCCGCTGCCAGAAAGTCACGGGACAGACCCAGGTGCCACAGATTGACTGACTGACAAATGCACCACCTGTGCCACCTACCCTGTCAACTGTTGCTCCCCCACAAAAGTAAAAGACAAACATCCCCCGTGTAGCCTTAACAGATTTTTGGGACAAGTTCTGTTAACTAGCACCTATGAAGGCTGGCACGGCACACGAGGGGAGGGTGGCCAGCTCTGTACCCGGCCACTTATTACCCCTGAGTGCTCTTGTTTACACACCGCACCAAGTCCTCATTACAGGCTGAGTCGACCTAGGGGCAGCCCAAGACCAGTTCAGAGAATCGTCACTGGTGTTGGCCGTGAGCCGGAATCGAACTCGGGTCGCTGGGTTTGTAGCGCTGCGTGCTAACCACGACACTACTCTATGAGACCTCTTTTACCAGTGGCAAAATATAGTAGTAGGTTTTTACCCTTTTAAACTGGTACAAAACTGACACCTTTATACAAGGCATCATGTTTACAATAACCACAACACAAGTAGTCAAAAATGCAAACAAAAAGAAACTCTGATAATGATAATAATATGCACTGTCCTTGAAGTTGATTGGTCCAAACCCGAGACAGCTTTCTTTAGAGCCTAGTCCCCATTGGTGTTGGACCAGATGACACCAGAAGGCGTACAACTCAAACAGTGCAATATCAGAGTATTGAGAGCTCGGGGTAAGCATTTACACTATGATACCTCTTTTACCAGTGGCAAAATATAGTAGTAGGTTTTTACCCTTTTAAACTGGTACAAAACTGACACCTTTATATCATCATGTTTGCAATAACCACAAGTGTTGTGGTTATTGCAAACATGATGCCTTGTATAAAGGTGTCAGTTTTGTACCAGTTTAAAAGGGTAAAAACCTACTACACGACACGACTGCTCACACCACACTCACACACTCACACAAATGCAGAACAGGGGAGAACATACAAACTCCACACAGTCGGGATGGAACCCAGGCCCCTTTTTGCTGCGAGGTGCGTGCGTGACCACTGCCCGTCGCCATCACCCTGCCGCCCCACTACACAGTCAAGCGAGATCACACGTGGGTGCGCGTGGCTTTAAGATGCGGAGTGGATTCTCAGTGAGTGGACCGCCCTTGCCAGCTCGTGACGTCCCAGAAGAACAACATCAAGGGAGGAAGGTGCCCAGAGGGAGGGGGAGCACTCACGTCTGCAGCATGGCCGACACGTAGCAGAGGGTCCTCTGCAACAGGAACTCCGGACTGAGACACACACACACCCACACACACACCCACACACACACACCCACACACACACAACCACACACACACACAGGCAAGCAAGGACAAAGATCCCTCCGGTATAGCCTTTAACAGAATGTCGGGGCGAGCACCTCTGAGCGGGAATCAAACTCGAGTTACCAGGTTCGTAGCATAGTGTTACGTTACTGAATCACAAAGATCACTTGCCCGAACAGCCTGAACAGACTGTTGGGGCAAGTGCTGTTAGCGAGCACCTATGAAGGCCGGCACAGCACATGAAGGGGTAGGTGGCCAGCACCACATCCGGTTGCCTTTGTCTTCCTAGTGGTGATGTTTACACACCGCACCAAGTACTCATTTGAGGCTGAGTCGACCTAGGAGAGGCCCTTGACCGGTTCAGATCATCGTCACTGGTGTTGGCCGTGAGCAGAAATCGAACTCGGGTCGCAGGGTTCATAGCGTAGCGTGCTAACCGCTACACTACCGCTCCCCCACAACACCAATCACACACATACACACACACAGATACACACAGACACACACCTGTACACAGCTGGGAACACGTGGAGGCGCTGCACCAGTAGCAGGTGAGCCAGGCAGCAGAGCACGTCGCTGCTGAACCGCGGCTCCCCTTCCTCCGTCTTGCCCCCCACCACGCCCACGCTGTGCCCCCCTCCCCTCCTGGTCCCCTCCCCTGCCATCACCAGCCCCGAGAGAGACACTCCCAGCGCCGCCATGTGGCCCTGCAACAGACACAGCCCTCATCAGCTACCTCCGCTGCTCGATGAAGGATCCCACTGCTCCTGGCGCACTCACGTGACGATCATGCCCGAGCGAGATTTGTCCGCGTGTAGTATCACCTCGCCGTCACTACCACCATCGTCACCATCATATTAAACTAATCAAAGGTGACATAGGACACTTGGTATTGGCGCTGTTGTTCTCATCGTGCACGGCTATCGCCGCGAAGGAAGGCGCCGCTGCGTGTCACAGATGGGTATAGTCTGCCAGTAGGGCGGCGATGTTGCTGTGTGTAATCACTATTTATTAAGTTGTAGCTTAACTTCAGCATTGGGATGTTTTGGCCGAATACCAGTTACACTGTGTGTGTGTTTAGCTATGGGAGGAAACCCAGAAAACCCGGAGGAAACATGTGGAGATAACAGACAAACTCCACGTAAAAAACGGTGCCCGAGTCGGGAATCAAACCCAGGTCCTTCTGGCTGCGAGGCGCGTGGTAACTTTTCAAATTTGGAAAAATTTTGATGGCGACGTGGGCACACAATAGTCTACCGAACGACGATCTTTGCTGCCCACCGCGCAGCAGACGACTCGCGTATGTTGTGCGGTCACAAGGCGTGGCAGTGACCGGCGGGGGGGGGAGGCCCGCCGGATTAGAACCGCGAGCGCCGAACTGGTATCCGCACCAGCAGCGCCTGTGCCGTGTCGCACAGGGGGAACTCCTCGGCCTCCTCCTCCTCCTCCTCCTCGGGCAGCGCGTCCATCACGGCCGGCAGCAGCGGGTACTCCAGCACGCACGCGCAGCTTCACACGCGCAGCGCAAACACAGAGACCACCCCCCCCCCCACACAACCGTGGGAGCCTCTCAACAGCTGCTTGGGGATGTCAGCGAGCGCCTACGAAGGCCGGCACGGCACACGAAGAGGGTGGGTGGCCAGGAACCACGCTCAGCCGGCCGCCTTTGTCTCCCCAAGCGCTGATGTTTGCACACCGCACCAGGTACTCATTTAAGGCTGATTCGACCTTGGGGGGGCACAGACCAGGTTATATATTCATCACCGGGGTTTGCTGTGGGCAAGGATCGAACTTGAGTGGCAGGGTTCGTAGCGCAGTGTGCTGACCACTGTGCCACCGCTCCTCACACAAAGACAAAGATCCCCAGTATAGCCAAAATTACTGTTGGAGCAAGTGCTTTTAGCGACCACCTATTAAGGCTGGCATGGCACAAGAGGGGGTGGGTGGCCAACACCATGCCTGGCCGCCTTTGTCTCCTCAGTGGCCAGGTACTCATTTGAGACTAAGTCGACGTAGGGGAGGCCCAGGACCGGTTCAAATAATCGTCACTGGTGTTGGCCGTGAGCGGGAATCGAACCTGGGTCGCCAGGTTCGTAGCGCAGCACACCCACCATGACACTACCGCTCCCCACTCCTCTATTGTACACACACACCCTCACAGGCACAGTAGAGGGGTAACACTTGTAAGTACTCTTAGGCTCAAGACAGTCACGAGGGTTTAGTGGTGCCAGCACCTAGCCCTGCAATAATAATTCAGAAATGAGTACACGTGGCATTGGCGCTGTTGTTTTTATAACACAGGGCAATCATCACAATGGAAGGCGCCGCTGCGGTGTTTCACACACAGACTGCTGCAGTCAGGGGCAATGTTGCTGCTGTGTTGTTAATCCCAATCGAGTAATCTGCAAGTAAATCTTTTAGCGTTGCAACGTTTTGGACAATTCCACTTACATTGTCATATTAGCTATGGGAGAAACCCAAAGAACCCAGAGGAAACCCATGCAGAACAGGGAGAGACAACAGACAAAGGCTCCCGTGTCGGGTATCGAACCCAGGTGCCTTCCTGCCGTGAGGCGCGAGCTTCACCACTGCTACCGCCCGGGTGGAACGTCGCTCCCGCTCCGCACGTCGTCCCGCTCACTCACTAACGCAGCAGCTCCAGCCTCAGCTCCTCGCGTTCGGCGCTGGCGCCGGGAGGCGCGTCGCGGCCCGCGGGGGGGCCGACGGCCCGCATGACGTAAGGCCGCACGGCATCGGCGAGGGCCGCGTGGGCCCGCAGCAGGGAGTGTGCGTCGGCCCGCCGCTGCTGGGCCGTGTGAGGCAGCGGCAGGGCCTTGGTGGCGCTCACGGCCCCAGAGAGAAACAAGCCCAGCGAGTAGGCCCGGCCCGTCCGCAGCCGCGACAACACTGCCCGCGCGGAGGAGAGAGTCGCGCGTTATCAGCGGCGGCGGCAGAGTGAGTTTGCAGGCACCGGGTTGTCCCTGCAGGTTCTCTGATTGCGTTTTATTCTTGACAGTGGCCATTCGCATCTCGCCTCTGTGCGGGATGCAGTCGTGCACAGGGAATCTAATCTGGCTCCCCCTTCTCACGGGTGGAGGAGAAACCGGGCGGTGGTGACTATGCCCTGTAATCCAGCAGTGTGGAAGGCGGCGAGGGTCGGTGGATCGTCGCTCAAATGTCGTGAAACTCCCTTTCCGTGTGCGTCGAGGAGGAGCCAGGAGAAGGCATGACAGAAACAAATGTGGTCTCCATCTGTTGTCCGTATGGGATAAAGTGTTTCCCCCTCACACGCATGGGTTTTCTCCGGGCGCTCCGGTTTCCTCCCACATGTAAACACTCATGAATTATCCGATATGACCTGAATAGATAAAGGACCGCAAAACTTGGGCAATTATTGGTGTGGGCTCATCACGTGGCAGCTGTCCTGCCGCTTGTTCTATGGTTCCTCATCGCTCTCTCTACGAGAGTGACCGAGTACTCTGCGGTGACGCCGGATTAAAGGTTTACATTATTATGATATTCCTTTGTTTCAAGTCACCCATGAGCCCCAGATGCCCAAATATACAAATTATGCTCAAGTTATCTTTATTAGACCCAACAATGGCGAACTCCCAAGGAGAAATCTCTGCTGTAGGAATCCTTGGTTGCCGAGTTCGTAGCACAGCGGGCTGCCCGCTACACTACCGCTCACCCCACACACTCACCGCTCCACACGTTACATATAAATATATAGACAATACGCACACACGCACCTGTGTCCACATGTGGCAGCAGCAGCAGGGTGGTGCGGGCGCTGGACTCCACCGGCGAGGCCTCCAGGGCCTCCAGCAAACCCAGCATCAGCTCCCTCGGGCTGCACTCCTGAGCACCGACACAGGCCCCAAACACACGCGCCCATGCATCTGTACGTAGACCTGCAGTGGTGTGTAAAGCCGTGTGTGTAAACCCCGTGTTTGTCCGTAGCCCTGTAGTGAAAATCTTACCTATAAACGTAAGTTTTTGTCTGTCTGCATGTCTGTCTGTGGACGCACACTTGTGAAGGATTTGTCTCGAAAACTGTGGGGTTTACGTTTAAAAAAAGTAGCCAGGTACCACGCCGTAAGCCCCGTGGTGAGCCAGCGCTATTCCATTTTCCCATCATCAACTTTAAAGTAGTAAATTTACAAAAAAGCTTTTATTTATTTATGTACTTACGCCGCCCCTGGCAATGCACACGCGTAATCGGTGGAGGGGGGGATTCCTCATTCGCGTTCAAAATGCTAAAAAAATACACACAACGCTGAGGTAAATTCTTCAAAGTGTCATGTCCTCTTCTCCCCCCACCCCAATGTCTTACTACTTACTATAGGGTCGGTAGATACTAATATTATAGTGCTTACATAGTATTATTGTAGTGCGGCCGGGGGGATGGTGGGGGGGGGTAGCGGCCCAGCCCCCAGCCTGCCAAGGTGCCATCTCGGCCGGCTGGGTAATCTAGGCGAGGCCGGGGGCTCTGCACGGGACTAGGCCTCACTCACCACGCCACTCTGTCAGGTCAGTAGTTTGTGCTATAGAGTGGGTATATACTCCTATAGAGTCAGCATGTACTACTGTAGTCATAGCAGGTATCACCACAGTCAGTATGCACTGCTGTAGTGATAGCAAGTACCACCACAGTATGCACTGCTGTAGTGAAAGCAGGTGCCACCACAGTCGGTATGCGCTGCTGTAGTGATAGCAGGTACCACCACAGTCGGTATGCGCTGCTGTAGTGATAGCAGGTACCACCACAGTCAGTATGCGCTGCTGTAGTGATAGCAGGTACCACCACAGTCGGTATGCGCTGCTGTAGTCATAGCAAGTACCACCATAGTCGGTATGCACTGCTGTAGTGATAGTAGATACTGCTATCGAGTTAGTAGATACTAAAACAGTCAGTATATACCACGACAGTCAGTAAATACTACTACAGTCAGTAGATACTACTATAGTCAGTGGATACTACTATAGTCAGTGGATACTACTACGGTCAGTAGCTCCTGCTATAGAGGCAGTAGATACTACTATAGAGTTAGTACATACTATAGAGTCAGTAGTTACTACTATAGAGTCAGTAGATACTACTGTAGGGCCAGAAGATACTACTACGGTCAGTAGTTACAACAGTCAGTAAATACTACTATACAGTCAGTAGCTACTACTGGCTCAATAGATACTACTGTACAGTCATTAGATACTACTACAGAGTCAATAGATACTACTTACTCTGTTGTATGTAGGGTGTGTAGGTATATATACCTACGCGGGGGTAAATATTTTTTCTGAGGGGGGGGGTCGACAATTTTCGCAAACCTTTTAGATCAACTATTTACCCCCGCTAAATAGACAAACGGCCCACCAAACTAAACTATTTAAATTTTACCAGGTAAGGCCCACCGAGCCATATAGCTCTTTTTCAGATGCGACCTGGTCACAAATGACAGCTCAACGAGGTGGTTTATCACGTGGAAATGTATAGCTGTAGCTAAATACTCTAAAAGCATGTTTCTAAATGTGGAGCATAAAACCGGATGACCCAGAGAAAAATCCACATGACCATGGGGAGAGAGACACCGCAAACTCCAAAAATACAGGCGTCAGGGTCGGGATCGAACTCATGAACTCCTGCATACCAGGCGATGGAGCTAATATCTTGCCACTGTGGTGCGTGAAGCCGCACGTGTAAACCCTGTGTCTCTACGTAGCCCTGTGGTGGTGAGTAATGCCACGCGTGTAAACCCTGTGTCTCTACGTAGCCCTGTGGTGGTGAGTAATGCCAGGCGTGTAAACCCTGTGTCTCTACGTAGCCCTGTGGTGGTGAGTAATGTCACACGTGTAAACCCTGTGTCTCTACGTAGCCCTGTAGTGGTGAGTAATGCCACGCGTGTAAACCCTGTGTCTCTACGTAGCCCTGTGGTGGTGAGTAATGTCACACGTGTAAACCCTGTGTCTCTACGTAGCCCTGTGGTGGTGAGTAATGTCACACGTGTAAACCCTGTGTCTCTACGTAGCCCTGTAGTGGTGAGTAATGCCACGCGTGTAAACCCTGTGTCTCTACGTAGCCCTGTGGTGGTGAGTAATGCCACGCGTGTAAACCCTGTGTCTCTACGTAGCCCTGTGGTGGTGAGTAATGCCACGCGTGTAAACCCTGTGTCTCTACGTAGCCCTGTGGTGGTGAGTAATGTCACACGTGTAAACCCTGTGTCTCTACGTAGCCCTGTGGTGGTGAGTAATGCCACGCGTGTAAACCCTGTGTCTCTACGTAGCCCTGTGGTGGTGAGTAATGTCACACGTGTAAACCCTGTGTCTCTACGTAGCCCTGTAGTGGTGAGTAATGCCACGCGTGTAAACCCTGTGTCTCTACGTAGCCCTGTAGTGGTGAGTAATGCCGTACGTGTAAACCCTGTGTCTCTACGTAGCCCTGTATTGGTGAGTAATGCCACGCGTGTAAACCCTGTGTCTTTACGTAGCCCTGTAGTGGTGAGTAATGCCACGCGTGTAGACCCTGTGTCTCTACGTAGCCCTGTAGTGGTGAGTAAAGCCGTGCGTGTAAACCCTGTCTCTACGTAGCCCTGTAGTGATGAGTAATGCCGTGCGTGTAAACCCTGTCTCTACGTAGCCCTGTAGTGGTGAGTAATGCCACACGTGTAAACCCTGTCTCTACGTAGCCCTGTAGTGGTGAGTAATGCCACACGTGTAAACCCTGTGTCTCTACGTAGCCCTGTAGTGGTGAGTAATGCCGTACGTGTAAACCCTGTGTCTCTACGTAGCCCTGTATTGGTGAGTAATGCCACACGTGTAAACCCTGTGTCTCTACATAGCCCTGTAGTGGTGAGTAATGCCGTGCATGTAAACCCTGTGTCTCTACGTAGCCCTGTAGTGGTGAGTAATGCCGTACGTGTAAACCCTGTGTCTCTACGTAGCCCTGTAGTGGTGAGTAATGCCACGCGTGTAAACCCTGTGTCTCTACGTAGCCCTGTAGTGGTGAGTAATGCCACACGTGTAAACCCTGTGTCTCTACGTAGCCCTGTAGTGGTGAGTAATGCCACACGTGTAAACCCTGTGTCTCTACGTAGCCCTGTAGTGGTGAGTAATGCCGTGCGTGTAAACCCTGTGTCTCTACGTAGCCCTGTAGTGGTGAGTAATGCCACGCGTGTAAACCCTGTGTCTCTACGTAGCCCTGTAGTGGTGAGTAATTCCACACGTGTAAACCCTGTGTCTCTACGTAGCCCTGTAGTGGTGAGTAATGCCACACGTGTAAACCCTGTGTCTCTACGTAGCCCTGTAGTGGTGAGTAATGCCGTGCGTGTAAACCCTGTGTCAATACGTAGCCCTGTAGTGGTGAGTAATGCCACGCGTGTAAACCCTGTGTCTCTACGTAGCCCTGTAGTGGTGAGTAATGCCACACGTGTAAACCCTGTGTCTCTACATAGCCCTGTAGTGGTGAGTAATGCCGTGCATGTAAACCCTGTGTCTCTACGTAGCCCTGTAGTGGTGAGTAATGCCACGCGTGTAAACCCTGTGTCTCTACGTAGCCCTGTAGTGGTGAGTAATGCCACACGTGTAAACCCTGTGTCTCTATGTAGCCCTGTAGTGGTGAGTAATGCCACGCGTGTAAACCCTGTGTCTCTACATAGCCCTGTAGTGGTGAGTAATGCCGTGCATGTAAACCCTATGTCTCTACGTAGCCCTGTAGTGGTGAGTAATGCCGTGCGTGTAAACCCTGTGTCTAAACCCTGTGTCTCTACGTAGCCCTATAGTGGTGAGTAATGCCACGCGTGTAAACCCTGTGTCTCTACGTAGCCCTGTAGTGGTGACTAATGCCACACGTGTAAACTCTGTGTCTCTACGTAGCCCTGTAGTGGTGACTAATGCCACACGTGTAAACTCTGTGTCTCTACGTAGCCCTGTAGTGGTGAGTAATGCCGTGCGTGTAAACCCTGTGTCTCTACGTAGCCCTGTAGTGGTGAGTAATGCCGTGCATGTAAACCCTGTGTCTCTACGTAGCCCTGTAGTGGTGAGTAATGCCACGCGTGTAAACCCTGTGTCTCTACATAGCCCTGTAGTGGTGAGTAATGCCACACGTGTAAACCCTGAGTCTCTACATAGCCCTGTAGTGGTGAGTAATGCCACGCGTGTAAACTCTGTGTCTCTACGTAGCCCTGTAGTGGTGAGTAATGCCACACGTGTAAACCCTGTGTCTCTACGTAGCCCTGTAGTGGTGAGTAATGCCACGCGTGTAAACCCTGTGTCTCTACATAGCCCTGTAGTGGTGAGTAATGCCACACGTGTAAACCCTGAGTCTCTACATAGCCCTGTAGTGGTGAGTAAAGCCACACGTGTAAACCCTGTGTCAATACGTAGCCCTGTAGTGGTGAGTAATGCCACGCGTGTAAACCCTGTGTCTCTACATAGCCCTGTAGTGGTGAGTAATGCCACACGTGTAAACCCTGTGTCTCTACATAGCCCTGTAGTGGTGAGTAATGCCACGCGTGTAAACCCTGTGTCTCTACGTAGCCCTGTAGTGGTGAGTAATGCCACGCGTGTAAACCCTGTGTCTCTACATAGCCCTGTAGTGGTGAGTAATGCCACGCGTGTAAACCCTGAGTCTCTACATAGCCCTGTAGTGGTGAGTAATGCCACGCGTGTAAACCCTGTGTCTCTACGTAGCCCTGTAGTGGTGAGTAATGTCACGCGTGTAAACCCTGTGTCTCTACGTAGCCCTGTAGTGGTGAGTAATGCCACGCGTGTAAACCCTGTGTCTCTACATAGCCCTGTAGTGGTGAGTAATGCCGTGCGTGTAAACCCTGTGTCTCTACGTAGCCCTATAGTGGTGAGTAATGCCACATGTGTAAACCCTGAGTCTCTACATAGCCCTGTAGTGGTGAGTAATGCCGTGTCTCCCGTTGCTGTAGTCCTCCAGCTTAGTGTGACTGTCGTGGATAAACAACTAAATTCTTATAAAAATGATCGATTATCGATATTTGTCAGTTTGTGAAGCTGCGTGTGTTAAATCCCTGTAACGAGATCGGTCATGAGGAAACTTTGGGACAGATGTCATCCGAGGTCCCCCTGCAGATATAGACACAAATCTGGTGGGCCCCTCAATGTGGCTCAAGATCGTTGCCACTGAGGCTTATCCAGTTTAATCGCATGCATGGTACCTACATGATCAATGAGAGCAGAGCAAAATTCATGTAGGTATCCCCAGATTGTCCCAGATGCTCTCTGGTTACATCCGGACATAGCAACACTTCATCGGGATATCACGGACTTTTTTGTTACAGCATTTGTGGCACTAGTCTCACCCTTTCAGTTCACACTACTCTGTGGGGCATGAAACCAGATTATCTATCGAAACATCAACACGCTCGAGTTCAAACCTTTAACATTTAACCCAGGAAGTTCAAATTGCCCAATTAGAAAGATCATGAACCCCCTTCGTGGAAACAGTGGCGCAACACCCTTCTGGCCTAAACAGGCATTGAGCACTTGAGCCACAAGCTTAAAGGGAGGGGAATGGGAGTTCGAGACCAGATAGTCCCCCCCCCCCCATACGGAGCTTAAAATGAGGTGCATGGGTGAAGAGGTCGGGTGGCGGGGATGGCCGTAAGGGGGGGGGTGGCTGCACCGCTTGGCCAGAAATGGGCAGGGGGGAGCATTTATCGGAGGGAGGTTGGTACTTAAGTTCATATCCAGCGTGTTGATTATTTTATTTGCAGGGCTTTTCTCACCTTTACAGGCTGCTCCCTCCCTCCGCCCCTTCTTCTCCTCACCAGAATGTTAGTTACCGCCCCCCATGCAAATCTTCATGTCGCCGCACGTGGTTCCCACTTGGGTGGGGCAGTGAGCCCAATTTCCGCCCCTTCACAGAGCCCTGCCGCGCTGATAGCGGTTTGTTGCTCGCCGAGTTTCTGTTCGTCCCCCTCCGTTTTGCGATCGGCGTACCGGGCTCGCGTTGAGTTGCAATGAAAAAAAAATCCCCGTAACCCCCGAGCAACCCCGTGGCGGGCGAGTCAGCCTGTAGCCGTGGGATCCGGCTCTCGCGCGGCGGGGACTCACCTGAACCACGGCGCGCAGGCAAGCCTCGCACGCCTCGTGCCCGTCGGACGCGGCCGCTTCACGCGACAGCTGCTCCACGAGGGGCGAGACGAGGCTCCACGCGGCGCTCCTCACCACACCCTGCCGTGGGGGCAGAGGCCGGCGTCGCGTGCGGGACGCGGGGAGGGGCGGCGGTCGGTTACGTGAGGTCGCGCAGAGACAAAGATCCCCCGGTGTAGCCTTGAACAGACCGTTTGGTAGCGAGGAGCACTTAAGCAGGCCGGTACTGCGCACGAGGAGGTAGGTGGCCAACGCCACGCCCAACCGCCAGTGGTCACGTTCATAAAACACGGCCAGATACTTATTTAAGGCTGAGTCGACCTAGGGGAGGTCCAGGACCAAGTCAGACATTCGTCACCGATGTTGGTTGGTCGTGAACGGGAATCGAACACGGGTCGCCAGGTTCGTACAAGGGAACGGTGACCAATGTATTCTTCGCCACGTGGACCAGACTAGCGCAATAGCCACTTGCTGCCGGGGTTCTGGTACGAATCTGAATGGCCGCTCTGGTTAAAAGGGGGTGAGATGTTAACTACCTCGCCTGGTATACAGGAAGTCGTGGGTTCGATCCCGACCCTGACGCCTGCTGCATATTTGGAGTTTGCGTGTCTCTCTCCCCGTGGTCGGGTGCATTTTTCTCCGGGTCCTCCGGGTTTTCCCTCCACATTTAGAATCACATTTAGAATCAAAGTAAACCGTTTAGAGTATTTGGTTGCTTACAATTCCACATGATATGCCTCTTTGTTGAGCTGAGCTAACATTTGTGGCCAGAGCTATATAGCTCAGTGGGCCTAACCTGGTGAAATAAATTTCGATTTAAAGCTTTCGTGACTGCAGGGATTCATCTTCTTGGTTCTTTCGGTAAAGTCACGTATTATTTTATTACTTCCCTTCTACGTGACTTTACTGGTGAAATAAATTTAGTTTTAAAGTAGTTTTAATAATGCAGGGTGCGTTAACCGTAAAAATGCTACGCGCCGTCTGCATCAATGGACGTTAAAGATCCTGTGACGTCATTCGAAGCGAGTCATTGTGTGCCAAATGTAACAACTTTGAAAAAGAATGCTGCAGATGACTCAATTTGGGTTACACACAGCACAGCAATCGTAGCCTCCTGCTGGACAGGCTCACGCCTGCTCAAGTGCCAGGTGCTGAGTCACCACGAGCCACACAGCTGCCACCAGGGGTGCCCCTTTAAAGCACGTTGAGATGAGATGCGATGGTGCAAGTCGCTCATAGCGTGTAAAGCTTTCTCTGAGACGCCACCGGGGTAGAGGAGGGCAATTATTTTCGAAGGAAACTCATTCTCATAATTACGGTCTTTCAAAGCCTGGTTGGCTTTCCAATAGCCTTGCAGCCGTATGAATCCAACTGTTGAACTGGTGCAGCTTCTGCACTGCAGGTATTATAGGGATTAGGGTTAGGGGTTTGCGGCCAAGCCTAATCCAACTGGAGAAGCTTAACCGTTGAGTAACCAAACCAAGACGGCAAAACAAACCCTCGGCATTTCCCGTGCACTGCACTGCCCACTGAGTAGGGAATCGCAGATTTGAAGCTTTCGTGACTGCAAGGATTCATACTCTTAGTTTTTTCGGTAAAGTCACGTAGGTAAAAAATTCAATTAAAATTAATAAAAGTAATAAAAAGAAAATAATAAAAATCACGACGTTTCGGAGGCAACACAAGTCTCCGTCAGCAGGTGGGACCGTCACAGCTAGATTTGCTGTATCAAGTGAGGCAGGGATTCCAAAATGCAAGTTCTTAAATACAAGTTAAGGGGGAAGAGGGGGGGGAGCTTATCAGAATGTGGTAGCCAATGAATGGAACGTATTGGGAGGGGGGCGGGGCTAAAAGAGCACGAGGTGTACGTGTACGTGTTTGTGCGCATGCGTTTTTATGCACTGTACTGAATCGGACGTGGATCTTATGTTTGTTTAGAATTCTGGTTAGGCCTCACCAACACTTATTTTACCTGGAATGGCAGCTTCTACAAACAGAATGAGGGTACCCCTATGGGCTCCCCCTTGTCACCAGTGATAGCCAACATGTTCATGGAAAAGTTTGAATCAGACGCCATCCAGACATCCACCCTGCGTCCTTCCCTGTGGAAGAGGTATGTGGATGACACTTTCGTCATTTGGCCACATGGCCTCCCAGCATTGAACCACTTCTTGGACCACATCAATTCCAGACACCCATCCATCAGATTCACCATGGAAGTGGAGAAAGATGGCAAACTACCATTCTTAGATATTCTGTTTGAGAGGAGACCTGACGGATCCTTGGGACATTCTGTCTACAGAAAAGCCACCCACACAGATTCCTACTTGAAACCTGATTCCCACCACCACCCATCTCAAAAGAATTATCTCATCAAAACGCTATACCACAGAGCTCATGGCATTTCCGATCAACACCACCTGGCCAGTGAATTAAGACATGTACATCGGGCCCTCAGGATGAACGGATACTCTGACCGCACCATCCACCAAGCTGTTTCTCCCACCATACAGAAGCAGCCACTTGAAACTCCGATCAAAACTATCACGTTGCCATACATAGCAGGCGTGACCAAAAAGATCTCCAAAATTCTAAACAAACATAAGATCCAAGTCCGATTCAGTACAGTACATAAAATCCGTGATCTAATTCCATCTGTGAAGGATGTCATCCCTGACTTGCAATACCCTGGAGTCTATAAACTGAGTTGCAGCTGTGGTGATTGTTACATTGGGGAAACAAAACGTCATGTCTCTGATCGTGTCCGCGAGCACAAGTCAGATCTGAAACACGGCAAAATTGAGTCTTCCGCCGTTGCCGATCATTGCTACAACGCGGTGGGCTCTCATGAAATTGTTTTTTCCGAGACCAAGATGCTCTGCAAACCCTCTGGCTACCATCAAAGGTTTGTACACGAAGCCATTCAGATATACAAACACAGACATAATTTAAACCGTGATGATGGGTACAAACTTAGTAATCATTGGAAAGATGCTATTAACCATGCAAAAAAGATTTAACTACACATTTTTGGACCATCTTATTTGACAGGCACTATTTTACTTTATCGAGTGTTAACATCCCCAGCGTTTAACAGTACTCTCCTTTTTCGTATTTGATTGTCAGCCAACACTGGTAAAAACATGGGCATTTTCATTCTCTTCTATCATGTGCACCAACAGGTGCTTGTGCACAAACATGTCCACGTACACCTCGTGTTCTCTTTTAGCCCCCCCCCCCTCCCAATACGTTCCATTAATTGGCAACCACATTCTGATAAGCTCCCCCCCCTCCTCCCCCTTAACTTGTATTTAAGAACTTGCATCTTGGAATCCCTGCCTCCCTTGATACAGCAAATCTAGCTGTGACGGTCCCACCTGATGACGTGTTGCCTCCAAAACGTCGTGATTTTTATTATTTTATTTTTATTACTTTTATTCATTTTAATTTAATTTTTTACCTACGTGACTTTACCGAAAAAACTAAGAGTAGGGAATCGCACTCGATCAACATTCGCATGTTCACAAACCAAACACGCGTGTTTTTCACGTGCGCCAGGGTACGGTGGTGTAGTAGGGGGCGATGTTCCTGCTGCTGCTGTGTGATCCCAAATGAGCAACTTGCAGTGTCATTTTATTATGAATAATATTGGTTGCGAAAGCATACGTGTTATACATTGTGTGTGTTGGTTTGGCTGTAGGAGGAAACTGGAGAACCCGGAAGAAACCCACGTCGAAAAGGGCGAGAGATCATACAAACTCCACTCACTCACTACAGAACAGGGAGAGAACATACAAACTCCACTCACACTCACTCAAGAGCCGACTGGCTCACAGGGCTATACCAAATAAATGAAACTGAAAACTGAAACTCTGCAGAACAGGGAGAGAACATACAAACTCCACTCACTCTCACTCTGTAGAACAGGGGGAGATCATACAAACTCCACTCACACTCACTCTGTAGAACAGGGGGAGATCATACAAATCCACTCACTCTCACTCTGTAGAACAGGGGGAGATCATACAAACTCCACTCACTCTGTAGAACAGGGGGAGATCATACAAACTCCACTCACTCTGCAGAACAGGGGGAGATCATACAAACTCCACTCACTCTGTAGAACAGGGGGAGATCATACAAACTCCACTCACTCTGCAGAACAGGGGGAGATCATACAAACTCCACTCACTCTGTAGAACAGGGGGAGATCATACAAACTCCACTCACTCTGTAGAACAGGGGGAGATCATACAAACTCCACTCACTCTCACTCTGCAGAACAGGGGGAGATCATACAAACTCCACTCACTCTCACTCTGTAGAACAGGGGGAGATCATACAAACTCCACTCGCTCTGTAGAACAGGGGGGATCATACAAACTCCACTCACTCTGCAGAACAGGGGGAGAACATACAAACTCCACTCACTCTCACTCTGCAGAACAGGGGGAGATCATACAAACTCCACTAGCTCTGTAGAACAGGGGGGGATCATACAAACTCCACTCACTCTCACTCTGCAGAACAGGGGGAGATCATACAAACTCCACTCACTCTCACTCTGCAGAACAGGGGGAGATCATACAAACTCCACTCACTCTCACTCTGTAGAACAGGGGGAGATCATACAAACTCCACTCACTCTCACTCTGCAGAACAGGGGGAGATCATACAAACTCCACTCACTCTGTAGAACAGGGGGAGATCATACAAACTCCACTCACTCACTACAGAACAGGGGGAGAACATACAAACTCCACTCACTGTAGAACAGGGGGAGATCATACAAACTCCACTCACTGTAGAACAGGGGGAGATCATACAAACTCCATTCACTCTCACTCTGCAGAACAGGGGGAGATCATACAAACTCCACTCACTCTGTATAACAGGGGGAGATCATACAAACTCCACTCACTCTCACTCTGCAGAACAGGGGACATAAAGCTGCATGCACTTACACTGAGTGAGAGTGCATCAGTCGGTCACATTTGCCGACATGTATTTTGATGGTTAGCTCGGGAGAGAGGACCGCCATGCACTTCATCAGGAAATGCTGATGCTTGTTGGCATATTGCACAAAGGCTGCATGTGTGCTGTTTACACAATCTTGCCTCTGGCTATTTCGAGGATGTGCCTCATGTACTTTCAACAAGATGTCACCGCATCTTTCCATCTGCCGCATATTTTGCAATGCAACAAAAATTGGTGGAAAGTGCCGTCTGCTAGAATGAGGACATCACGGTGTCTCTGTAAATGTTAAGATAATGCTGCTGGTTTTTTATCTACAAGTGTTTATCTTCATTCTTTTTAATTTACAAAAAAACATCTTGATCGTTTTTGGTTCATAAATTAGAAGCGTAGATTAAAATAATTGATTAATTCATCGTGATCACAGCAAGTGTCAGAGCTGTTAAGCCGCTTATTGCTGTGCCAGGGAAATCCATCTGTCTATGCGTCCGTCCGTTTATCTCTCGGTCTGTTTGTTGTCCTTCCCCTGTACCTCCGACTTGCGCAGGTGGCCACGTACAGTGCAAAAGAAGGTCAACATACAACACATGTCCGTGTGTCTCAGACAGGCGGGGGTGGCTATGCTACACGTGGCTGCTGTAATCCAGCAGTAGAGACAGCGAGGGTCGGTGGATCATCGCACACGAATGATGTGAAATTCCCTTCCCACGTTCGTCGAAGATGTGCCATATCCTGACTTGTCAGAAGGCAGTGCTGAACGGCTAGTGGACTAATCTGCATCTATTTCCAACTGCACGGGGATAGAGCGTTGACCCCTTGCGCAAGGCGTGGGGTTTTCTCCGGGTGCTCTGGTTTCCTCCCACGTGAATAATAAACACAATTCATCATTGATTGTCTGTAAAAACATCTTTAAATAAAACCCAATGCAGCAGCAGCAGCAGCAGGATCCTCCTGAAAAATCTGTGCTGTTCCCATCCAGCTTTAGTGTGCACTGATGTCTACTTTATTGAGGGCGATATTGGCACATAAAATGAATATTAATTGTCTGATTGATAATCAACAGAACAGGGGGAGAACATACAAACTCCACTCACTCACTACAGAACAGGGGGAGAACATACAAACTCCACTCACTCACTACAGAACAGGGGGAGAACATACAAACTCCACTCACTCACTACAGAACAGGGGGAGAACATACAAACTCCACTCACTCACTACAGAACAGGGGAGAACATACAAACTCCACTCACTCACTACAGAACAGGGGGAGAACATATAAACTCCACTCACTCACTACAGAACAGGGGGAGAACATACAAACTCCACTCACTCACTACAGAACAGGGGGAGAACATACAAACTCCACTCACTCACTACAGACAGGGGGAGAACATACAAACTCCACTCACTCACTACAGACAGGGGACATACAAACTCCACTCACTCACTACAGAACAGGGGAGAACATACAAACTCCACTCACTACAGAACAGGAGAACATACAACTCCACTCACTCACTACAGAACAGGGGGAACATACAAACTCCACTCACTCACTACAGAACATGGAGAACATACAAACTCCACTCACTCACTACAGAACAGGGGAGAACATACAAACTCCACTCACTCACTACAGAACATGGGAGAACATACAAATTCCACTCACTCACTACAGAACAGGGGGAGAACATACAAACTCCACTCA